GATAACATTATTGGCCGCAACCATATTTCTTACAGATATTCATAATATTTTTAGCTTTTAACATATTTTGTTGCCGTGTGAATGTCTAAGTCACCATTTTCTAAACTCTAGTAATATTTTAGGCGCAATCAGATTTATTACAAATAAGTTTAACATTCCAAATCACAACCTTCTTTATTATTGACCTATAACATTTTTTGGCGCAACCAGATTTCTTATAGATATTCATAACATTTTTAGTTGTTAACCTATTTTGTTACGTGAGAATGTCTATGGCCTCATTTACTAAATTACAATAACATTTTAGGCGCACCCAAATTTATTACAAATAAGTTTAATGTTCTAGATCGTAACATAATTTCTTAGCTTTTAGAATTGAGTTATTTCAAGTTGAAATTAGAGTTTAAATTGAAACTTATTCAACGATTCCAATAATAGAAAAGAGTGTTATGTTTTTTTAATATTCTGAATTTGAGCAGCTTAATTTAAACTAAAATACTTTTAGTTTGATTTATCCAACAAATTTAGAGAAAGAATAGTTTAATTCATCTTCTCCTTTAAATTTCCCTAGCTCCATTGACGAAAAAAATAGATAGGAAATACAAATTCAATCAAATCTAGTTCATAAAAATAAAACAATTAGGTTAAAAATCGAAAGCCTACATCTTGCTCTTTCAATTAACATCATTAATCCTAAGTTTTAAGTTGATAAGAGAAAACATAAACCCTAAATTGAATACTAGAGTTCATACATGTTAATTCATTATATTGATTTTGATTTGTGATGCGATAAGTGTTCTAGATTGAAGTTATTTACTTGTGAATTCTTCTGTCTTATAAATTTATTACTATTGATTTGGTTTTGTTTCGCTTATTTTCGTGCAGGAACCCATTCTTTTAGAATTGGCAGTAAGAAGGGCGTAATATGTATATTTGTTTCTATTATCCGATTGTGGTTGGCGACATGAGCAAAGCACTGGACATTAATCGGTCTGATATGACAGTTTCTAGAAGATCCAGTCAACATTGGCAGTTTCTAGAAGCAGTCCAATCAACATTATCGGGAAGAGGATGGACGAAAATCTCTTGGGATTTAAATTTAAGTTTGAATTAAAAAACACTTGGGATTTATCTTTTGATATTTAGGATAATTTATCTTTTGAATTTTTATGTTATTTTTAGGGTTTTAGAAAGCTATAAATATCTCAAAGGGTAAAGCTTGCAATGTACTTGAATTCAGTTTGTTTTTTGGTTTTGTTTTTATAAAAGTTTTTTTTACTTTCGTTTTTTACTTTACTTTATTCTCTTTTAAAAAAAATATGTTAATCATGATTTTTATCATGCTTAGCTAATTTTCTCATTTAGCCGATAACTTATCAAAGACTCAATTCGTATTGTGAGAATTGAAAAGTGCTTAACATCTTCGGATTACATTATAAATTTTCTGAAAAATTAATTTGACAATCGGCCTTACTTTTAAAAATCAAAACACTTTCATTTCAAAAGTCGACGTTGGTCTGATTTAAAGTTGGGAGGAAGAATTGGCTGGTAGCAAGTTCGATTTGCTAGGAACACACTTAGCGGCGGTCCGCTAAGGGAAATTGAGATCGAATTTGATTCTCATTGAGACAACGTAATCCGAGTTGGGCTTTTCAAAACTTCATATTGTTTTAGTGCTAACAGCGATAGTCGCAGTTAGTCCAATCAAGGACTGACTTTCAAAGATTGTCTTGGGCATATCGGTTTACTAAAGAGAAAATCAAGTTATAAGGGTTGGGCTTTGTAAACTGTAATTGGCATGACTCCCTAAATAAAATCTATTTCGATGATCGAATTGAATTGAGGCAAAGAGAAGCTTGAGTCTATCTTCCAAAATCATTATTTTCAACTCTTTTACTCTTGTTTTCATTTATTTTTACTTATTCAATTTATTTTTACTTCACCTAAACCCCCTTTCTTTTGACTGCAGTTATAAGTTATCTGGATTAGAATCGACTCAACTCTACATCGGAAATTTCTAAGTCCCTTTGGACCGACTCTTTCTTCTCTTTACTTAAAGTTCATTCCTTATTTATTTATTTTGAGATTAAAGGAATTTCATTTGATAGTAAAACGAAGCATGTCATGATGTTTTGATTTGTCTTCCATTGGGTTTTTGGCTTTGAAGATTAAGGGGATTTAGTGGAATCTTCCAAGGATAAGGGAAAAATCAAAACTAATCGAGTAACAGTTAATCCAAGAAATATTATAAGCTCATATTAGGTAAGTTCAGAATGGGTTAGTCGAATTCAAGCCCTTCAATACATTTTTATGTATGTATTGTTTGATATCTTTTGACATAAAAAATTATGTATAAATTGTTTAATTTGCGAGTTTATCTATAAACCGATGATTTAATTATAAATTAAAGTGTTAAGGTATATTTAATGCGATTCGATATTTTATCATGATAGTTAGTTATTTTCTAGCATGATAATTTTTGTGTTTGATTTGAAAACGTGATGAAATTAAACGTGATTATTTCCCATGTTCTAAGTGCAAAATCAAGCTTAATGCTTCGTTTGATATGGTTAACAAGTTATATACTAATTTAATAATGTAAATGGTAAATTTTTATACTAAGTAACCTATTAAAATGAGTCGTTCGTCATTAGTTTAGTTTTAGGTACAATTGATATGTCATATTTATAGTGTTAGTGTACGAGTTGTTTAAATATTTTGATCTTGGCGAGACACATTGATGACTATTATACATGTATCATATTGATACATGATGAAAAGGTGACACTTGAGTATCTATATATCGCTGATAATTTTTTTTGAAAAGAGATTTTGTACGGTTTTATTAATAACGCATAAAAAACGGAAAAAGAATGCACCATGTGGATGCTAAAGAATGTATTTTAGTGGTATTTTTATATAAACGCCGCTAAAGACTGTAATTTAGTGGCGTTTTTATAAAAAATGACGTTATAGACTCATACTTTAGTGGCTTTTTTATACAAATACCGTTATAGACTCGTACTTTAGTGGCGTTTTTATACAAACGCCGCTAAATATTAGTACTTTAGTGTCGTTTAAAGCACAAACGCTGCTAAACACTCGTACTTTAGTGGCACTTTTATAGAAACGCCGCTAAATACTGTACTTTAATGGCGTTTTAAGCACAAACGCCGCTAAATAATCATTCTTTAGTGGCATTTTTTACAAACGCCACTATATATATACCACATTTAACTAAATTTAGCAAACCCTAGCCCTAAACTTAACTCTCAGGGGCCTCATGCTTTTGAGAACCCGACCAACAGACAAGTCACGTTCTCTAAGAGAAGAAACACTCTTCAAGAAAGCTAATGAGCTCATCGTTCTCTGCGATGCGAGGGTTTCCATCATCATGATTTCCAGTACTGGAAAAATCCACGAGTTCATCAGTCCTTCTACTTCGTATCACTTTCAAAAACCCTAGATTTCTACTTTTCTTTTTTGAAAAACTTGAATTGAAACCTTATATTTCTTCTAATTTTTGTTTTAATGTATATATATAATTTTAATTTTAATTTGATTTTTGTATATTTGATGGGATCAATGGCAGGCAAAAGATGGGTGAATGTTTGAACGATGCAAGTATAGAGGATCTTCGAGGACTGGAGCAGGAAATGGCTCTTCTATTATCTTTCATTTTGGGTTTTTAGTGGAAGTTGAATCTTGCTCTTTTTTTCCTTCTATATTTTGTCATGTTTTAATTTACTGTATTTGATGTTCTGTTTGCTCCATTTTGCTAATATTTTAGTTCACGAGGTGGGCTTTAATTTATTTTTTATTTTGTGAGGTTTGGTTTGAAAGATGGAATAAATAGCTTCATTCGAATCCTTTTATGCAGAAGAAAAATGGTTAAGCTCAAGGGGTGTTAATTTTTGTTGAAAAGAAAGGATCTTGTTGGGTGTAGATATTGAGCAGTTACTCATGGAAGCGCATCATAGGTGGCTACGACCAGCTAATATTGATTGCCTAGAATTTATTCATTTTGCTGGTTGAACTTTGTATACCATGCCTTTCTCATCTGATTTTCATTTCCTTTTCCTCCTTGAACCATTGAACAACAGGGAGTCCATCCATGTGATAGAAGAAAAAGCATCAGCGAATATTGGCCTCTGTTTCCTGCAATTGATTTTTCCTTGGCATGTAACTTCTCTTACGAATTTAATGATTCTCATTCACTTTACCTATATTGGAATTTTTTATAATTGCAATTTCAATATCGGTTAATTGGTGGAATTTTTGTCCTTCAGATTGACAGCAATGAGGATAATTTGTGGGAAGCTAACTGTAGAGAAAAGAATGAAGAAATTGCAATCAGTGGAATGAAATTCTTGAACTGGTGAGTGGTCCGTTTGTATCTGCTTTAACTATATGGGAGTATGGTCCTCCAAACATATGAATTTTTTTAGAAAAAAATGAGCATACATATCAAACTCATATTTTGACCCTGTATTAATCTGAATGATAAAAATGGCTAGTTTACAGTTCGAAGTAAAATTGCTTCGTTCGATGTCTATTTCATATCCTCCCAACCTTTTCTTTTACTATATCCATTTATCATTTGTGGCAGGCTGTGGACACTATAAGAGAGGGAAATTGCCGTTTTTAGTCACAGCAAATACTTGCACCAAACCTTTGGTTTTTTTGGCAATGATCGTCATCCATCTGTGAAGAGTGAAATATGCACACAGTGAGTTGTGCAAATTTTCAATTGTTAATTAATTGTTTATTGATAGACCAATCTAGTTTTCTTTGAAAGTTGAAAACACTGATATCCTGAAATCTTGAGTCCAAAGTCCATGTCCTCTCTATAATGGATTGCAATTCCTTGCTATACTGAATGGCATAGTTTTATGAGCAAAATTTTGATATGTTAAGTACTTGAATCTGAGCTTTCCAGTAGAGATAGTTTAAAACCTTGGAATTTCAGACTAATATGATGATTTGGTATAACCAGTTGCAACTTTCTGAATTGCGAGCTCCGGTCTGGAGTTTTGGTTGATAGATGGTATGTACGACATTTTAAAACCTTGAAACACATTTCATTTGCTTAACCCAACATAATTGTTCTGAACTTTTTTTCTTGAACATTTTTGCTTCAGTATATTGGGATCAGATTGTTCAACGACCAACTATCCTGGAAAAATCCCTAGTGGACCTGATCTTCCCAGCGATGTTGCCAATGAGAAGCTTTCGAATGACGGAGCAGGCAAGTAGCTATTCATCCGAAGAGATGACGAAGTGGGAGTCTGAGTTTGATATCCGCAGTATGATCTTCCTTGTTCTTAAAGTATTCATGTCTGACATATATTCGAATACGAGTTCCGAGTATGATCCTCCAAAGGTATGGAAAACTTGGAAATAATCAAAGTATACGCGAATCAAAGATATTTTTTATGGCATTAGTTGTGTTGACAGTATTTTTTGTGGATTATATGTTCTGTTTAAATCATTAAATACTCAGTTTTAGTTGTTTTTACACTTCACTGCACATGAAATAATAGGTGATGGCAACACTATGAGTCCAAAGCAATCAACTTTTTTATTGTTCTTGGAATTCATACTCCCGTTCTTTAATCTTTCTATTTCTAGATTTTGAACCTAGGATTTACCTTATTTCAAGCGACTTAAGCTGATACAGAAAGAGTTTTACACAGTATTACATTTCTACACCATCTGTGGCTCTATCTTGAATATTATTATTTTTTGCTTCACATTTTTTTACTGTCTTTTGGTGCCATTACCTTTGACCAACTCACATTAGGTTTTACAATTACTCCCATTGTATTAGTATTATACATTCTATTTTACTTTCCCAATCTTGTTTTGAATCAGGAAAAGACATTATCTTATACAACCATTAAGGCAGCATATTGGCAGTTGGAGTTAATGGTTTCTGTACTGATTGATTTATTTCCATGTTGCAGATCAGTAGTAGAATGTTGCAGCTGCAGGTTCTATTTGAATCTTTGTTTGATCTCTATATTGTTGAAAATGTGAGTTACTAATTTCTTATTTGAACTTGGTATGAGTACCGCTAAGGAATCTATAATTTTAGTTGTTGAAGAAATGTGTTGTTAACTTTTTTAACGTAAGATATAATGGATTTTCATTGGCATTGATGATTTATTTGGATATGAAACTAGAGATCGGGTTCGCATTGCCATGGATGAGGCCTTTTCAAGTGGCATGCTAATTGGAGTAAGACCTCATGAAACAAAATATCTGTGCAAGAAATGACAGGACAATACTAGCTCTGCATCATTGTTTTCCCATATAAACTGGATTTATCTCTTTGAATTTAAGTGTCTCATTGTGACGAAGAGTAGTGAAGAATGTGTAAGATTATATGCAAAATATCTTAGATGTTATTATTGTTTATTATAGTTAATAATGTTGAACTACATTATATTTTACGTTAATGTAAACTTTGATTTATTATTATGGATTTCAATTTTCTTGTTATGAATTTTAAGTTTGTTGTTATGGATGTCAAGTTTATTGGATAATGCTACAGGTTAAATTTGGGTAATAAAAGAGTAGAAAACAACATTTGACAAATTAGTTTTAATTTGCAAAATAAATTTCTCTTAACTATAGAAAGGTAATTAGCGGAGTTTGTATCCTAAAACGCCGCTATAGATATGACCTTTTGCAACGTTTGTTCCAAAAAAAAAATGCTGTTATAGAGCTGACCTTTTGTGGCGTTTGTTCCAAAAAACGCCGCTATAGATCTGACCTTTTACGGCGTTTGTTCAAAAACACCGCTATAGATCTGACATTTTATTGCCTTTGTTCCAAAAGCGCCGCTATAGATCTTGAACTTTTGCGGTGTTTGATCCAAAAACGCCACTATAGATCTCGACCTATTGCGGCGTTTTTTATTCTCAAACGTTGCTAACTTTAGCGGTGCTGGTATAGCCGACACTTCTTATGGCATTTTTCTTATCGCCGTTAAAGTACTAAAAAAACACAGCTAAAAGTCTATTTTGCTATCTAATGCGAGTTTAAAAGTTATTTGATTAAATTTGAAAGCATCTAAGTTGCCTAAAAAATATTACATGTTGCAATGTAACGACACAAATTATTAATAAATAATTTTCTTGATTTCAAACCTCATTTTGACATCAAAACTCGTAATAGTTATGAAGTCATGGATTTCATATCCATGAAAAATAGGTATGAATACCTCAAAAATGATACCGATACTTGAATTTCTTATTTTGCAAGTTAAATGATTTGCTTGAGCATCAAGTAATCATTTTAGTTTCCATTCATTGCAAGACCTTGTAATGTGTGTATATTTAATTTTTGATTGGATGAATGTTTGTTATTTGAATTTAATTATGTTCCAAATAAAGTTAAATTTAGATGGGGGTATTACACCAAATTTTATGCATTCATTGGATGGCATATTTTATTTTTTACGGATGTTGATGATTTAACCTTAAAATAATAACAAATTAAAATGCTTGATCTCCTAAAATTAAAAATAAAAGAGAGTTTAGCCACTTGTTTCTATTTTAAGCCCACATTTATTGCTATTCCGGGATTCAAGATCTAGATAAATCCAAGTTATCTAATGAATCCACTGAAATGCACACATATTGCAGTCCATGAAATCCACCCCAACAGACCATGATCTAACGGCTCCGCTGAATTCGTGTAGCTGTGTTCCACTTTTGAGTTTCGCCGCGTTTCTAAACAGCCCACGGCTACGTGGCTGTACTGTTATTTCAATCCATTTCAACGCTAAAACCGCGTGCTACGTTTCTCATTCACCAGATCTATAAATATAATTCAATCCCATTTCAAACCCCAAAACCTAAAATCAAACAAGGAAAATAAAATCCCCCAGCACTTACGCAATGCAGCGAAATTTACGTTTCTCGATCTTCTGGCTTTCCCTCGTCTTCCTTCCTCTCCTTTTCTCCGACGCCAGAAAGGCGAATCTCCCCGGAGGATGGTTTCCGATCAAGAACATCAATGATCCGCACGTGACGGAGATCGCGAAGTTCGCCGTCAGCGAGTACAACAAGCAGTCGAAGGCGAGTTTGGAGTTGGTGAAGGTGGTGAAAGGCGAGAGTCAGGTGGTTTCTGGCATGAATTACCGGCTGGTTTTGAAGGCGAAAGACAGAACGGCCGTGAAGACATATCAGGCCGTCGTTTGGGAGAAGGAGTGGCAGAATTTCAAGAGTCTTACCTCCTTTCATCCAATCAACGGTTAGATTTGATTGTGATTATAGTAATAATATGTGTTTATGTATGTCCATCGTGTTGTTTTAGGTCCAGCTTTGATGTTTGCGTGACTGATTGGAGAATAAAAACTTCCATCAATTATGTGTCTTTTTTTTTTCTTTTTCATTAATTATGTGTGCTTTTTGGATTAAGAATTCGAGTTTGCTGTTTTTCTTTTTCATTTCTTTTATCACCAAAGGAGAATTTTATACTCCTTGCTACCATCAAGTGTCTTTTTTTATCAATTTTAAAATTGTGTTATTCAAAGTATTTTATTAGAAAAATAAATAAACAATAATATTTATATTTTTTATATTACGTATTTTACTCATTTATATCTATCCAAATAAATATGTCAAATTCATTTATATATTAATTTTCAGGGATAATTTTATTATTATTAAACTTTGCACATAACAAATTCTCTGTTACAATTATAAACTATTTGGCAGTTTTTAATTTTTTTTTCTTCATGACAGCGTGGCCACTATTTTGTCATTTTTAATTATGTTTTTTTTATATTTATTATAATAATACTTTGGGTCTTTTTTTTTTTAGTAAAAGATATTATAGCTATCAATATTTTTGGATTTTTAATACAAATTTTTATTTGATTTTCTTCTTAATTTTTTATTTTATCTTAATACATGGTTGTACTTTATCGATGTTTGATTCTCTGTTCGTTTGTTTAAGTCAGTTCTTTAATTATCATATAAAGGTACTAGATAGTATTATTATTAAGGAAAATTTTCTTTTTCCGTTTAATATTTTGGTTCTTCTTTAAGTTTATCTCTTATATGTTTGATGTTTGGAGTCGTTGATGATTTTGTTAAGGATTATTTGTTGTTTTATTTTTTAATGATTTTGTTTATAGATTACCTCTTGTAATCATTGTTATATGTTATTTTGATAGTCTCAATTGTATTTATTCAGTCTATATTTAATAAAACGTTTGATGATACAATTCGATAAATAAAATATTATGTTTATGTTCAAAAAAATTTACACACAATAAAATAATATAAGATAAAAAATTAAGGTAAATTACGCAAATAATCACTAATATTTTAGTAAGATTTCGTTTTCACTATTGATATTTCGAAAATCACAAATCGATTACTAATATTATCGTTTGTTATAAATTGGTCATTAAACGTTAACCGTCATTAACAGACGGAACAAAAGTCACAACTAGACCGTTATTTGTTTATCTGAATCGTTAACCACATAATAGAGAACCGTTGAGATCTAATTTGACCATATTATACCATATTGATCGGCTCTTTTTTTTCGACCCAACCTCTTCTTCTTTTTCAACCCAACCATATATTAACTCATAATATAACATATCTTTTAACTTTCTGGTTCAAAGGCATAAAAGTGTAGACTAATTCACAGTGATGTTTATTTGGGTCCAAACCAGAAACCTACATTTTAAAATTTTCAAGGTTTCGTTTCCCTGCAGTGTTAAAAGATAAGTAAGAATGTTTGAAAATTTTATAAGTTTATTCATATCATAAAACTTTGGTTTTGAAAGCATTGCCTTTTCCTGCAGCATGTGGTACTTGAACGCTATGTTGCACTAATACAGATACAGGGAAGGGGACGGCAAATAAGCACTAATACAGATACAGGGAACGGAAAGGCAAATAATAATTTTTAAAATTACAAGGTATTGAAACGGCAAGGGTACGAAATATAAAAAAAATTAAAATTTTAAATAGATATTAAAAATCATAAATAAAATCAATACTTCATAGAAAATTGGTGTAACACCTTAATTTAACTCTAATTAAAATCTTAACATTTGAGAATTTTTTTCAAATCCCTATATTAATTTTAGTGTCCAATTTAAAAATACTGCAAAACTTGTTTCCAGATTCGAAATCCCTATAAAGATCAGGGATTAACTGGAAATAATACCAAAAATTATGTAAATCCTATTCTAACTCTTCTTTCTCCCCCGCTGTCGCTTCTTCTTCCTTTTTTTTCTCTTTTCTTTTCTTCCTTTTCACAAACCTTTGAAACGTCCCCGAGCAGAGGATAAACAACTTATTGCAGACGCCATTGTTCTCCTACTCTAACAGTGCAGAAGCTTAGCTACATTTGTAGTTGTCGCAACCGTCTTTCGGTTGGGTCCCGGAATTGGGCTTCGACTTGAAAAATGTGGATTGGAGTCGCCACCGATCATTTATTTAAAAATAAATGGGTTGATCGGATACCCTATTTCTTACCTGATCTGCGTCTTACCAGAGATGTGTCGGATTCGGGAGTCGGTTACAGTCAAGGAAGGGCTAGCACCCTTGAACTGCCCTTTCGGTACTGTGTAATTTCCAGTTGTCTTTAATTAAGAAATTGAAAGTTAAATTAAAAGGTAAAATATTGATCCAAATTGCTTACCACTGATTCGATTTAAAAGTATACCCTTAAAAAGTCATGAGAAGCGTTAACAAATGGTGGTGAAAATAAATCAAAAATAAAGAAAGTGCAATAAAGAACAAAATAGACAAAAATAAACAATAAACATAATTAACATAAAGGTAGAGAACATGAATGAAACAAAAATAAGGACAAACATAAAAACGTAAGGTAAAATAGAGAAGAAAAAAAAAGAAAAAAAAAGAAAATATGGCATATAAATAAGACATTAGAAAAATAATAATAAAAATTACATAAAGTATACATAATATATATACATATATAAATATATAAAATATTAGAGGAAATACAATAAAAATAAAATAGAAGAAAAGTAAACAAATGATAAATAAGAATAACGGTAATAATGATAAAGATATAAATAATGGGAAAAATAAAAAGATATATATAATAGTAATAAATAAATAAAAATTAAAAAAAAACTAAAATAAATAAATAACTATAATCAAATATGTACGTATAAAATAAAAAGGAATAATGAAAATAAACTAAAAAATACAAAGTAGAATAAAATGAAAATGATAATGATGTTAAAAAACACGAAAACTATATATAAATAACAAATATATTATTAAATAAAACAAATGAATAGAAATAAATATACAGATAATAATAAAAGAAAAAAAATATATGTTTATATACGCTATCAATAATACTTAAAATAATAAAATTAACGATGGTTATGTATAGAGATAAATAAAAATAAATACATAAAGTAAATGAAAAAATATAAAGAATATACATATAATAATAAAAGGGAAAAAATATATGTTTATATACGCTATCAATGATACTTAAAATAATAAAAATAACGATGATTATATGTATATATATATATATGTATAATAAAATAAAATAAAAATATACATAATATATATATATATATATATATAAATAAAGGAATAAAATATAATAATAATGAAAATATAGTATATAATAATAGTAGGGACTAAATTGAAAACGAAATAAACTCGAGGGTCAATTTACAAGGATTTCGGGTACAATAATCGATTCAGAGGACCAAATTAAATGTTTTTGAAACTGGAGAACCAAAACGCAAATCTCTCGCTTCTTGAAAAAACACGCGGGTTCGAGGTTCATCGGGTCGGGCATAAGCTGGAACGGGTTAATATATGACTCAAACATATTTTTTCTGTTTCATTTCTCTCCTCACAATCAAAAGCTCCCCTCCCCTCTCTGAAGTTTCTCTCGTTTATTCAACCGTGTTCTTCATTTGAAGAACACGGCCACCACTGAAATCCAGAAATCGACCAATGGCCACCCCGCTCCGCCTCGCCGGCCACCGTTGAACGGTGCCGGCCGTCGTTCATCGGCGGTAAACCCTAAAATTTTATTTTTTTTGAAAGCCCTTCACCTCCTCGTTTCAAAAAAACCAAAATCGTTTCTTTAAAAAGTAAGCCTCGGGGGCCAGATCTGGGTTCGAAAATCCCGACCTATACCCCTGTTCATCGGCTTTATTAGCGTATTTGAGGTTTGGAACGAGCACAAAACGGAAACAAAACACGAACAACTCCCACATGCAAGCGTATCAAACAAAAAAAGGTAAGGTTTTTACCTCTGTAGCCTTCGAAGTTTTCAATAAAACTACTTGGATTGCTTTGAATATTGGTATAACTTTGCTCGAAATTTCGTATCAAAAAAAAATCCCCCTAATACTGTTGATTACATGCCTATTTATACAAAAATGCATGCCTATTTTTTGGTCTAGCTTGAGTCCTAATCAAACTCAACTACTTTTATTTGTTTGACATCCACGATCGTTGCTTGTGGCCGAGAGAACCGGGCTATGTTGAGCAGTTGGTGTCCTACACATTCACGTAAGTTGGAGGCCGAGAAAAGTGGGTTCGTTGCGTGACAAGCGGCGTGCCAAGTGGGGACTGTGGCGCTTGTGGAGAGACGAGTGAGGGAGAGCTGGATGCACCATGCGGCGCTGATGGAGTGAAGGCTTGCTAGGGTTTCTGGAAATCCTACGCGTTGGGCGCGTGACTTGGGTTTGGCATGTTGAACCACATGTGGATTTGTGGGCACCAATTGGGCCTGTAACCTGTAAATCAAGTGTAATTATAAAAAAAAAATATGATATGTATACACATAAACCATATATTATAAATAATAACACAAATGCAAATGTAAATGCCATAGAGACGAAAAATATGTGTCGACAGCTGCCCCTCTTTGCCCATAGTCGTGTAACGGGTGTAGGACAAAGATTAAAAGACACATTTTTTGTCTAACATGAATATATCAAACACCATCCATAAAGGGGTCTGTCCCCATCGAATATCCTCTGTTGTAGAGTTGAAATCCGATGCTAAGACTGATTTGTCATTTTGAATTGAATCCTGAAGTGACTCCCTCGTCGTGAGGTTGAGTCGAAACCGAAAGATTCTGATCACGAAATTCTTCGACGTGAAGTTGAAATCGAACTCAAAGCTTTTGACAAGTGGCCTCTGAATCGTCTTTTTGCTCAAGATACTTCGTCGTGAAGGTGAAACTTGACCTGAAGACTTTGGTGTTGTGGTGTCACTGATGACTCTCTCGTC